CTCTTGTCGCTACACCACCTCCGCACCACCAGCATGTCTTTGGAAATGAAAACTTTGCGTTGCCGTGGCCAGTGGGCGGAACCGTGCGGCTCGCGCCTTCTTCACGCATATTTGAGCTGCCAAATTAGTACATCCATCATGCTTGAGGGCAGCACTGCCCTTTCCAAAGACGGCGTCTGATCATCCAGGTGAATAGTGCTTTTAATCCTGAGGGCGTAACGAACTTGGGAACGCTTCCCTTATATACCCACTTATAGCCCTTATCAAGTGTTACCAGTTCTTGGAGCTCAACATTTATGTCCCTGTCCTACCTGCTATATCACTTTGTTGTAACTAACATCCCACTGTTGCTGCATTGTGAGTTTGCTGGCAGTTCTGACGCTCTTGCTCAACTTTAAACAGTTGTTGTCATTATGTTTCACACAGCATACATTCCCATCTTCTTGCCTTAATTAATTTGAACGCTCCGCGGAAAATTGGGGATTCGCTTTCAACATTCATGCATTCAATTATTCATCAGCAGATATGTTTAGTCTATTTCCCCTTGCGGGATAAGTGCAGCTTTGTTCACTCACAAACCCATTAATCCAACTGTCGTCTAATACGTTTCACTTACTGTGAGAGTTTCCTGGTTACCCCATGTTTACCTTTTTTAGGTTTTCACATCGGGTTTTGTGCTCTTCTCATAATGTATTGTTTAAGGTACGTCGTTATGGTACAACTCAGCCACCAAGCGTAGAATACTTACCTAGAAAATACATTAACTATACGGTTAAACCTGACGACACGTTGCAGGGCATAGCTCTGAAGAATGACTGCTCGGTAAGTATCTTTGATTCCCTAGTGTTTTTCTCATTTCTCTTTTTCTTTCTGTCGAAGGCTTTGTTTTTAAGATTGGGATTTAGCTTTGTTTTCAAACACAAATAAGGTGAGGTACCTTCTTGCTGACTCGCTTCCACGCTTGTCAGTGCGCTGCGTTCACACCTTGCGGAAATAAAAAACTCGAGGATTGCGTAGTTTGAAGAATTTCAAAATCCGCGTGAAAAACCAGGGTAAATCTGTTGGACGGCTCGCTTCGCAATCATCTGACTTGTTAGACACTTTTTTGTACACAGCCCTGCCCGCAGACATGGCGGATCTACTGTGTTCGCAACTCAAAAATGCGTGACAAAAGCTCGAGCTGCTCGCGGAGAGACCAAGGCCCCACCCACTGGCATCTGCAGCACCCAGAACTCATTTTTGAATGCTACGTGATGGTGGATTGTTTCGCTGCTAGCTCTCTCCATTTTGAATGTGAGGGTGAGGCGATAAGCAGAAAGAGCTGGTACCATCAGTGAGAATTCGTCCAACCTCGCCCTTTCTTCGCCGTAGTTTTTAATTAACTTCAATGTAACTTCTGACTTTTTTTTCCTGCTTTTTCTAATTTGATGTCATTTGCCATCTGGTCGTTACTGTTTGAGGCGCCCAGCTACAACTTGAGTTCGCCTTCAACAGGAGCATTGGGATCAGTCGATGCGCATTTATAGTGTAGTTCGCTGCGGACGGTTGGGCGTGTCAGGCGGGATGAGTTTGGCGCGGTGCCAAACCCGTTCTCCACCAGTTGTTAAAGCGAGCAAGTGATATGACTGTATCATATCGTTTCTCTTATCTTATATCATTACTCTTACTACTACTACGTCTTATTACTCGTTTTCTACCACTTTTTGTCGCATGCGCGCTTCAACAAGAAGGCAGAGAACGGCTTTGACGGCGTGACACACTCATACTGCCTGACACGCCCAACCGTCCGCAGCGAACTAGAGTAAAAAGCAAAAAATTTACTAGCAAAATTAGCAAATTGGTGCAGATGGAGAAAGCAAAAAGAATTTTTCGCTTTCTCCATCTGCACAAATTACGTCTTTCTCCAGTGTACAGATATTAACGCATCCTGAGCGGTGTACTGTGACGCGATAAGGTTAGTCTAATAATGTTCGCTTTTGACAAGGCTGCTTGTTCTTCGGGGCGTAAGTACAAGTCATAGTCGAATTTCAAAGGCAACACAATCACATTTCACATTTCCTACAGAACACAATCACATTTCCTACAGAGCAGTCTTTGCCTCGGTATGAGCGGAGCAGACTAGGTTTGGCTGATAGACATTTGCGCGTCCTTGTTTTCATTTTCGGATTCATGTAAGGCATGCAAAACCCACAGCTAAGCATTACGTCGCGGAAAATCGAACTGGTCGGTTCGTCGACTCTCCAGGAAGATGTCTGTACTACTTTTTCACTTCTATTA